CTAACTAATAGCAGAAAATGAAATGTAATAAAATACAATCCTAAAGTCCTGGAGGCAATTGCCTCAATGCGAAAAGGAAAAATAGCAATATGTCACAAGCTAATATCGTGTCACTGAACCATTGAGAGTGGGATGGTCTCAGAGAGGGTGAATGCAGACTAAAAATCGAAACTCCTAACGACAGTCATATACGTAGTTGGGATTGGTCATCAGGCTCAAGGTGGGGGATTGGTAGGGAAACAAAACCAATAATTCTAATAGATAAACCATTAAGGCGGATAATGCTCAACAAAAGGGTGACACCTTGCAGGGTCGACCATGAAATGGAAGCTTGGAATAAGGTGGAGGTATGACTAACTGAAGGCATGGACTGATCAACACTAGGGCGAGGAGGGTAGCAGGTGAGGGAAACATCCACACAACTCACCAATTAGGGAGGAAGCCAAATTTGGGAGGGGGAAGCGAAGATAAAACTTCGGTCCCAAAGCCTATGTGATACTACGAGAGAATCTAACTCAGGGAGAACCAGCTAAGGGAGAACCATCATGCGAAGCATACAAGAGAATGCATAAGTTAGGATAGGGACGTGAAATAGTCTCATCCAAAGTAGTTGAAGATGATAAAGTAGTTGAAGTTGAGAAGGTAGTTAAAGTCGTCGAAGTGGTTGATGACGTCGATGAGGTAGATGAGTCGAGTCGATGTTGAAGGAAAATCGTAAAACGCTGATATCCTTAAACTGTCAATCTCTTTCACGTCAGAAACCTCGAGGTACCGGTAGCGCCGTTTCACGACGGGTATCGGTAGTATAGAGTGAAAAACTGAGCAGTCCTCGAAAATGGAATTTGCGGCAAAAATAAAAAATGCACCGAATCGGCGCGGCGAATATTTCACATTAAAAATAATTTTATTTATTTATTTTGATATGTTTCCTTGAAAGATCATGACCGAATCTACGGATTTTGAAATTTTCAAACATTTTGATGAATTTTTCTGAGCACAAAAAATCGGCAAAGTTGCCGCTTGTAAATGGTTGGATCGGAACCGCCGGTGACGAACGATCGCCGTCCCTCCGTACAACTCGACCAAGTGTGAGTTAGTCGGAAACTAGTTTGTGAATAGATTGTCAGTCGTGGAGATGCTGAGGGCGTCGACAAGTGCACTGTAGACACTCGAAGGCATCCGTCTATTTCTGAAGAATGACCTTAGAGAGAGTGGGTTTGTCGTTAACAATCTCCTCAACTGAAGGAGGAAGAGGGTCAGTGAACTAAGTAGGAGCAAATGTCTTAGCACGACGATCACAATTATACATACGCACCAATATTTGAGCGTGCTCCAAGTGTTTGAGGGGCTCCAAAGTAGCCTCCTAATTAGGATAGCCCTTTCAACGCACAAGGTACTCGATGCGTTGTCCTACCAAATACCCTTACAAGGTTCAAAAGTAGTCTCCTACTTAAGATAACCCTTTTAACGTTATCGAGCGCATCGGTCCAACACCGCACAAAACGGGGCGGGACCTTCCCGACCGCGTCACGGAGAAGTTGGTTTATTTCTCATCGCGATACTCATGCAGCTTCTGCAAGCCGTTCCGGCGGAGTGCCGCAGCCATACCTTTCACGAGCCCCTACGATAGGATAGGGTCAACGCGAGGCACGACTTCCCTCCACCTTACGGGAGATGTCACCTCCCTTCGGAGGGTGTATCCCCGCCGAGCTACCAGTCCACAGTATGAAAGCTAATGAGTTGCAATCGCAGAGGTGGACCAGCCGAGGACGTTTCTCGTTCGTTGTACCATAGGGTACGCGATCTTACTCCTTTATCGGACCCACACGCGAACCGACGCACTGGGGGCTGAAGTCCCAACCGCAATTAGCCGTCGGTCGACTAGGACGCGTCCCATACACCACGCGCACACCACTCTACTCTCACACACATACGGAACGACACAAAACAAACTATCCTTCCCATAACTTTCCGACGTGAAAATCGGATAGGCGACGTGCGTGAGACTTAGTATAAAATCGCGCGGACACATGATTAACTCATATCGAGGGGCTAACTCATATCGACGCGGAAATGGGATCGGCGACGTGCGCGAGACTTAGTATAAAACCGCGAGGATGCAGAGTTAACTCATATCGAGGGGCTAACTCATATCGACTCGCAATGCAAGCATACGCAATTAGTCGCAATGTTGGCGTACTATGTAGTACCCATACTCATTCGATCCTCGTTAATATTGAGGGTCGCATTGGACACACTCAAGTGTCGGTTGACCCGTGCCTTGAGGGATTGATCTCTCGATGCTGGACAACCACCAACTGCAGTTGAGAACCACACCCTCTTCCGCACCTTGCGGAGAGTGGGTGGTATACAAGTTCATACATGTGGTGACAATCGTCTCCCATTGCCCTTGAGACGAACTCCATCATCAAGGGCTTGGAGAGAAGTCAATGGGCTTGACTTCGACGGTTGCTACGGACTCTAACGTCGAACTATAAAACATTAATAAACAAAGTCAGTCAGAGAAATAATCAGGCATCATAATACTCATAATAAATCAAAACTCGAGATAAATCTAAAAAAAGAAAGATAAACCCATCAGGTATGCAGATCGTGCGACACATGGTTGTCATTCTCACTGCCTCCAAAGTAAGGGCTCGTACACAAGCTCCAAGACATTAACCTGCATAAAACATAGACATAGACGAACGCCACATTGCCATAAACCAATGTGGTCATATCTTTACTCTTCCTTGTAACTCACACCACGCCTCACACACTTCAGCCCTAGTCATAGTCAAACTTTTCATAAATCTCATAAGTTCTTTATGATGGCCATTAAAAGAAGTTTGCTTAAAACCCTCAAAGAAACGGATCAAACCTCAGGGCTAAGGCATCAAGTTGAGGTACAGATATAAACAAAGTTATGTCGTGAGCCGACGAATCGTCGATCAACTAACCGACCTGTTTTCAGTGATAACATAATATGATCCTCATGGGATGAAGTTGAATCTTAGTACAATCCTGACTTGAATCAATCAACGAAGGATCTGTAGCACAAGACATGTCAATTCTCAGACTAAGCTTATAAGTGTATGTAGAATAAATCCCCATGTCACACTCTCACTCAAAATCTTCTCACGACAAAATATGAGTTTACCTCTAAGATAGTGCCTAAAGAAAGGTAGACTTTTGACAGTATCTCCCCTATACAGAGTGAATGATCAGAATCGCCACCCGTCGAAATATAATCTAACCCCTTTTAAACTAAGAAAATTTCGGTATCGTTTTCCGTTGGAAAAATATTTTTCTAAAATTTATACTAACTTAAATATGAAAACAGAACAATCTTTTATTTTGAAAAGTTATTTTTTTTTTAACTCCCTTAATTAGTAAAAAATTGGGCAGCACTCCCTTTAGAAAGAAAAACTTTTCAATTTTTTACGAAGTCAGATATGAACCTAGAGCAAAACCTCAGTTCAATTAAAGACAGAATTTAACTAACTCCTTAGATTTGTAAAAGTTTCAGCAACACTCCCTTTAGAAAAGTGTTAATCCAAAATTTATACAAAGCTAAGTTCAGAATCTAAAGTGACTTTGACTTTTCAAGGTCCAATTTTGTTTAACTTCCTGAATCAGCAAAAATTTGGGCAAATCTTTAGAAAAGAAAACCTTGCATATTTTTATTAAACCATATATAAAAGTGAAACAAGTTGAACTTTCAAAAGACAAAATCTAACTAACTCTTTGATTTTGTATAAATTTCGACATCGCTTCCCTTAGAGAAAGTGACTTACCAAGATTTATACAAAACCGTCCACTCTGGCGATCGCTTTCTCAATAGCCATCCTTTCAAGCGCTGATCCGTCGGCCCATCTTCAATCCTTAACTTTCACATTCCTCAATATCTATTCCTTATGATCGTCCCAACGGTCTATGCCACTCTCGACTTAAGGCTCAATCTTCTTTATCCTTCCCTTCTCTTTTCAACGCATCATTCTTTTTCATCCATCCTCATGACTATTTCAATGACCGACCCACCAGCCTTTTCCATCTCTGATTACTCATTCCAGCTCATTCTCAACCAACCTTTCTGAATCAACCTTTCTCAATCAATTATGCAGGGGACCCCAATGCCTATTTCAAAAGAAATGATCCTTGTCAGGGACCATTTCCGAACAACATAGTTAGGGTCGTTCTTTTCCATTCTCAAATCGAAAGGCCTGGTTAGGGTCGTTCTTTTCCATTCTCAAGTCAAACAGCCTGGTTAGGGTCATTTTTTTCCATTCTCAAGTCGAACAGCTTGGTTAGGGCCATTCTTTTCCATTCTCAAGTTGAACAGCCTGGTTAGGGTCATTCATTTCCATTCTCAACGTTAGCGCTCAACGGGGTGAGTCTCAAGCACACGGATCCCATATCTGTCTCGGAGGTTAGAAGGTGACCATCTCTTTTCAGTTTTTTGAGTGCGGTTCCCCTCATCCATTCTCAGAGCAATGTACTATCCATGCATACATCCGACTTAGCGTCAAGTACTCGAGTTGGGGCTTGCGACCCCAAGCAGCACTAGCCCACCCGACCGTTCAATCATAGCAAAAGACAAGGGCGCCCCCTCCATTTTCACTATTTCTGGTTTCTGAGCACTTGGCTATTTTCAGACCCATTCATGACTCAGTTGGATTAGGCTCCTAGGAAAGGAGTGTTTTTCACGCCCCTTAACCCATAGGTTCCCTAATCTCTCTTGTATTCGACCAACATTCAACATAATGCTTTGCTCGTCAATCTGTACTCAAAGTTTCTCTTCTCAAAAGCACAATCCTTATTCCATCCAAAATTCACAATACCCGCTTCCCAACTGGTCGCATACCATGCCCTATGTCACCGTTTTGTGTACCCACTTTCGAAGGTAGCTCATCCAGAAAGTAAGATGAAAATGCTACCTTTTAACTTATCGTGACCCAGTCTTAGCTGGTCCTCTCATCACTCATCCTTAACAAACTTACTCATACTATACACATTTCGCTCCAATGTTTTGCAAATGAAAAACAGGATTCATGTTCAACACTTAATCTACATCTAATGCCTATTGGTGTCCTGTGCCTCAACTTGCTCGTCCCCTTGTCCATCCTGTCTTTCTGCTGACTCTTTGACCCTCAGGGCGGAGACCATGATTTTTCTTCTCCTCCTTGCAATCTCTTGTAACTCCATCTCGCTGAAGAAATCCAATGGTGTGACCACCACCCCTGCCTTCGCGAGTTCCCGGGTCTTGATAATGCAATCGTGTTTGATCACATTGAGCCATTGCTGAAACCAATGGCTGGGCGTTGGTCCAAATTCATCCTCCCATCTGAAGGGTCCCTCGCGCTGATGGTGTATCGGGGGCCGCCTCTCCTCCCTAGGCCTCGAGATTTCATCCCTCTTATCCCTATTGTTGATTTTTATGACCTCCTGCACTTCCTCTTCCTCCGCCAGTGAGGTTCTTTGGATCGTAGGTATAGGGAATCTCTGTCCTCTCCCCATATCCTTTTCCAACGTCCGGATACCTCCCTTCACAACTGTCGTGGCCGCTTCGTCCTTCAAGCGGGCTTTCCCTTCTTTCCTCCCCATCCTCACACTCGTCGCGCATTTTCTGTCTCCCCTCGCCTTCCCTTTGCCAAAACCCACGTTGTTCGCAGCTCTTGGCTCTTTTCTCGTTAGAGGCCTGAGCCTTGCCTCCCATATCCGCATTGCCCCCTTCTCCCACACTTGCCCTTTCCTCCTCGCTCTCAATCCCAGATGAGATATGTATACCTTCTCCCTCCCGGAGGGGCGAGGGTCTTCTACATACGCACTTTCTTTCACCCCTGCCTACCACTGGCCCGGATATGAGCCCTATGTAAAACTTTCTCTTTACCGCCCTCCTCCCTCGACTCGGTCCCGCTTCTTTCCCTCCGGTAGGCCTGTTGATCGCCCCGCTGTCGTTCTCGTTGCCGTATTTCATTTTGACTTTTTCTTGTGATTTTTCTTCTAGGTCCTGTATAACAAGACAACACCCGCAAAACCCCCTCATACACCCGTTTCCCCGGTCCGGTAGGCAGCTCCACTTCCCTGGAACGCTCCCAGTATCCTTCGCATCATGCCATTATTATACATTTTCCTCCCTTATGCAAATGCGCCGTTTGTGATGATCTAATTGTTTCCCCGTCAGAAACTATGATACAATGCCCTAGACAATCCTTTCCGTTGTCACACAAACCCGTTACCGCAAACTCCCAAGTCATTCTGCTTTCCAATCTTAGTCAGTCCAAACCATTGCCCCAACCAAAAAAAAAATGACAGCCCCACGGACGTAGTCAGAGACAGAACCATAGTGTGGGCATAGCCGCTGTCAGTCCCTAGCTTGTAGCCCCCCAGTTTCCTTATCCTCGGCCGCCTGAAGCCATTGTTCCACTGAGTCCCGACTTAGAAACTTGACCAATCGTTGCCCCGGGAAGGGTCCGTTCAATCCAGTTCCATCCAAATCTTCCAGTTCGAAGGTGTTTAGTCTCACCCGCTTGGCGACCCGATAGGGGCTTTTGAACCTCCTCCCAAGCTGTCCAGACCAAGTACTTTCTGGTGCCCAGTTCCTTAGCAATACTGTCTCCCTCACCTGAAGTGGCTCCTTTTTGACATTCTTAAACTGGTCCCATCTTGCTTTGTCCCTCATTCTGCTGTCTAGCACCCGGTTGACGATGTTTTCCATGACCTCTTCGTTCTTAAGGACTTGTTGACACCTCGCCTCGATTAACTCTTCCGTGGTCATTTGTGGGTCATCATCTAACCTGTTCTAGGTAGGTATCAAGGCTTCGACGGGAAAGTCGATCTCTCTTCCGTACAAAAATTATGTTGGGATACATCTCGTTGTCCTCTTAGATGTCATGTTTTCTGAGAAGACAGTTTGCTTGAGGTACTTAGGCCAACTTTCAAGATGGTCCGCTGCGAGCTTCGCAATCGTGTTCTTTAAGGTTCGGTACCATTTTTCCACAGGTGCATTGACCTCCGGATGGTATGGCTTGATGAGCTTGATCGATACGCAGAGCCTCTTAAGCATTCCCAATACTTCTTGGTTCGCAAATTCCGTCTCATTGTCCACTATAAACCTTCTGACGAAAGGATGCCTCAAGTAGAAGTCTTCTATTCAGTCCGCTACACTTCTTTCTGTTTTTTTCTTGAGAGCGACCGCCTCCACGAACCGACTCAAGTTGTCTCGCGCATCTAGAATATACCTGTACCCATCTGTTGATACAGGCATGACCGCAAGGTCAAGGTGGACCAGATGTCCCGGTCCTAGCACCCGCGTCGTTCTAAGCGGCTCAAAGACACGTGCTGAGCTTCGTTCCTGGCAAATAAGGCATGTATGGCAGTGTATGGCGACCATGCCTGACATGCCCGACCAATAACAAAGTGGCGTTATCTTTGCAAGAGTTCCTTTGGACGATCAATATCCTCCTGCTAATCCGTCGTGCATTACCTGGATAACGTCTAACTGCCTAGTTCTTCCTAACACAACTCTTTTAGGCATAGCATCTTCTTCTCTTCGGAACAAATGACCGCCCCTTAGGACGTACCTTTTGGCCTCCTCCCTTGCTTTAATGCTGACTTCCATGGGTTGTTTGTTTCCTACTAGCAACAACCCGATCTCTCGAAAGACCCGTGCGTATGTCTGGGCATAGAAAAACTCCTTCCCTTCCTGGTCCTCATCCTTTCTTTCCTGCATCTGGCTTACCATTCATCGCAACTATTTCCTTTCCCAAGATTCCACTAAGCTCATCACGGCGGTCCTGCCTCCCTCAACCGCCATTGCTATTAGTTCCTCCTTCGGTCCTACTATCGCTCCCCACAAATCTTTCTCCTTTTTGCAACCCTGAGTGGTGACCGGTCCTTCTCTAAGTTCTGCGACTACGGCAGGTGCCCCCTTCTCCAAAGTCCGGATCAACAGTTCTTTCGACGCACATTCTTCGCCCATCATTTCGTTATCCACCGCAAGGGTTCCTCCTTCTTATTCGAGGAATGCGTCTATGGGCTCCGCTTCCTCCACCCCTTCGGGAGTGATGCAGACCCGGCTTAGCCCATCGACCTTGTTTCTGATTCCCGCAATCCGTTCGATTTTGTAATCGAACTGCCAGATAAATCATACCCATCTCCCCACCGTCGGATCTATAGGCCTGTAATTCTTTAAGGCCCCTGCAACATTCGTTGGATCGATCCTAAGGATGATCCGCCTCCCAAATAGGTAGGCTTGGAAGGTCTTGAGGCAATGTAAGATGGCTAGGACCTCCTTCTTGAACTGCGCGTACCGCCGTTCTGCGGCATTCAGGGTCCTACTTTCGAACATAATTGGCCTCTCTTTCCCTTCCTCGTCCTTTTGAATTAGCACGCCTCCTACGACCAAGGGTCCTTCATCCGTCTCTAGGATGAAGGGTCGTCCCACTTCGTCATTAAAACAGGGTGCGGACAAGGGGATTTGCTCAGACGTCAGTATGTCCTTGAGTGTTTGGACGGCTCCTTCTCGGTCCTCTGTCCAATCCATGGTCCCTTTTTCTCTAATCATGGCACGGATAGGCTCAACAATCTTGGCAAAATTTTTAATGAAGATCCTTCAAAAGCCGACCACGCCCATGAATGCTCTTACCTCCGTCGTCGTGCGCAGGGTTGTTGGTCATTGTGACATCTTGTATGTTTTCGCCGGATCTGGCTTCCTACCGTAAGCACCGCAGCGAAATCCTAGTATGGTTACTTCTGGTACTGCTAGAATACTCTTTGGTCCGCTAGCCGTGATGTTGTATATTAGGAACTGACGGAGTAAGTTCTTGATGTTCTGTAGATGGTCCCATACAAATCTTCGGATTTCTGACTGGACTTATGTCTCGTCCTTTTCTTGTGCGCCTTTGATCGGGTTGTCATCGATGTAGGGCTCACACTTCTCTGGGAACATGTCCCCGGCCACGGCGAGCATTCTCCGTTGCGCTTCGGTTACTGCGTTTGTGAAGCCCATAGGGGTCACCTGCATCTGCAACTGTCCTACGGGGGTGCGCATTGCGGTATACGGCCTGTCCCGCACATCCAATGGAAGCTGGTCGTACCCTGAGTACAGATCTATCAGGGAGTAAATGCTCCGACCGGCTTGCGATTCTGCTAATAAATTGGCCTGAGGCAGTGAGCCAGCATCTCGGATGGTTACCGCATTCAACTTCTGCAGGTCCTGAATCCATCTCAACGTCTTGTTGGGTTTCCGAAAGACGAATCACCGGTTCGCGTATGGTGACGTCGTAGGTTCTGCGACGAAGAAGTCCATCTTTGCTCGAAGAAGGTCTGTCACTTCTCCTGCTATCCCAAATTCATAGTCCGGACCTTTGTCATTCCAGCACTCATATTCTACAGTCTGGATTCTGACCGGAGGAATCAGCTTTGCGTCCAACCGCCCTTTCTGGTGGTCACTAAAGGCAAATGCCAGGTGAAACTCCTGGCAGGTTCTTTTCATCAGGAGGGTTTTTTCCTCTGTTAAGAATCCCGCAACCCCTATCTTCATTGTATCGGTTACCTCAACTGGTATCCGATGCCTTTCTGTTGCTCGCTTCTCTCGGATCACCCGGAGGACTTCCTCCTCCGTCTCCATAGCCTCTTCCTTTGATGTCTCTAGCAGGATCGAGACCGACTTTGCTTTCTTCCCTACCAACTTGTATTTTCGAACATTTCCTTCCGGGATTTTTCGCCTAAAAGATGAACGAACGGGATTGCCCTCGCCACTTCTACGATTCGTGGCTGAATAATGACTAATTTTTCGTTCATACAATACCCCTTTTTCACTTCTCCTTCGAATTTGGCCAATGCCACCGAGTCCACTCCTACGTTATGGTATCTGATGACCTTAATGAGTTGTAGCAAATCGGGAATCTCGAGTGCGACTTCCGATACATCTATGCGCACTTCTTTCTGCTTGGGCAGGCTGACCCCGAGGTCGACTTCTGATTCCCTTTCTGCCACCATAACACCTAAGACTTTGTCCTCCTGCCTCCTCTTCTTCTGGGGCAGACCCCTCTCGATCCATTCCTTCTTATTGAATGCTTCCTCGATCATAATTTCTACCCTTTCTCTCATGCCCTCCATTCGCGCAAAAGCCCACTTCCGCGCGCCGTCTTCGAAAGATGGTGAGCATGTTGCTAACTTCCCCTTCCGAGTCGGAGGGTCTCCTCTCGTCCTAAGGAGTCGGAGGAGCTCTCCCCGACCGGTCACTGGGTCTTCTATGTCTACCATGTACGTGCCATCGTGCAAGTGCATGCCTATCATTTCTACGTTTGCGCACCACGGTCTCTCGAGGATTATGTCGTGGTCCATTTCTTCCATTACTGTCATCTGTTGAAACGACCAGATCGATTCCCTGATGCCTGCTTTGACTGCGCACTTCGTGACATACCCCGCGAACGAAATTTCCCCACCGGCTCCCCGGATGCTCCCTGTTACTTCCTTATTTTCCATAAAACCCTTGATCGTTGCAAAATCCCTCCTTATGAGAGTGATTTTCGCTCCCCCGTCTACTAACGCGTCGGTATGATGAGTTCCGATCTGGATTTTCAATTTTCCTACGGGTAGCGCATGGAAGCTGAGCTTTGTCCCGGGAGGGACCCTCATGACCTCGCCACCTTCTCGGTTTGGCAAGCTCAGGTGGATGTCTGCAAAGGCTTTCTCGAGATCCTCCAAATCCCCCCGACTCCTTTGAAGGTTAGCGACTTCTTGTGAAGCTTCCGGTGATTCGGGGTTTTCGTCTATATCTACTCGCCGTCGAGTCAACAGTTGTCTTAGCCCTTTGAGCAACTTAGGGCTGGCCTGCAGCATGGTCTGAAACGACACCGACACCATGGTTCGTAGTAGCTTGCTAAGGGTGTCATCGATCTCAGGCATGGTTAAAATCTAGATTTGGTACCTAAACTTCTTTTTAGCGGCGGTAACTTTGTCCGTAGGCTCCTCTTCTCTAGGTTTCCCATAGACTTTCTCTGGTTATCTGGCCTCAGGCTCTGCCTGGGGTACGGAGCTTCCAACTACCTCCTCCATCACGGTGTCACAAATAATCCTTCTACAAGCCGTCCCTAGCCGAGTAGTCGCGTTCACCCTATCACGTCTGTCGTTTTCCAAAATGAAGTTGACCTGTGGCCCGCGGCCCCGAAGTTGATCCCAAATGATGTCGACCACCGACTCAGCTTCTACGACTGCTATCTCTAGCTCATTGACTATGATAATGACTCGCCTCATCCCCCCTGGCGAGTTCCAATTCACCCGTTCTCCCTGTGGTCCGAATATCTCTCCCTTTAATGACCTGGTACATCTTCTTTTTAATATATCATGGTTGAGTTTTGGACATGCGCGTACATAATGTCCCATCGTGGTGCAGTACTTGTATTGCTCGTTAGCAGGATCTCTCCGTCCGAATCCCCGATTGGCTACACCTCGCGGAACTACAGCTTCCTGGGAGGGAGGGCGGGTCGGGATACTTGCGCCTGCATAACCAGTAGCGCGTTCTCCACCCTTTCAATCTTGTTGTCGACTCCGTGCACCCGTTCATGCAGACTTTCAATCCCCTTTTTTACCTTGTCGCCTGCCCTACCATTCACATCTATAACTTCCCCTTCCTTGAGCAAGGCTAATGTCTCGGTCACTACAGTCTTTTCGGCCAGATCTGTTACCGAACTGAAATCAACATCCCTGGTGTTTACGAATTTGCTCGTCTGTTGGTAAGCCGACAGAATCTTGTCCTTGTCGAACTCGAAGAACTGCCTGAGGAAGTACTTACTCATTATCCGGTCCGTAACCCCGGGGATCCTTAGGGCTACCAGGGTAAACTCCCGTAGGAAGTCGTTGTACGTTGCGAAGTTCTTCCTTTGAACTGCCGCTAAATCGGCCTCCGTAGCCATTTTCTCTGTTGCCAGGTATTTCCTCAGCATCACATCCCGGGTTTCCTTCCAGGATCGACTCGCAGCTACGATGGTCATTATGTCCCGCCCCAAGCTCAAAGACACATGCTGTTCCAGGTGGTCCATCATTTCTTCTCCGGTCCATTTCAACAATGCAGCCTGATTCTCGTAATCTAGCAAGAATTTCGTGATGTTCGCTCCGTCAAACGTCAACTTTTTCTTAGCATCCGTCAGGTAACCTTGATTTTTGTTCAGTGCTCGCGCGAAGGACGATACTATCTTCCTAAGACCGCCTTCGGAGCTACTGGCCTCGCCCGCCATACTGGTATCTTGCCCTTCCTTGCCGGCCTTCTGCCCCTCCCTAGTCTTTGCATTTCCTTCCGGTTCAAACCATCCCAACACCCTTTCCCTAAGGCTCCATAGTCCTTCATATCCTCGTGTTACTGCTGGTGCGGTTGGCAGACGGCTAACCCTACTATCTATGGCTGGTGGGTTCGTAGCTTTCTCCGCCTCCATCCCCGGGAGTTCTCTCTCTCCTTCCTTCTTTTGCTCGGTCTTCCCCCACGATCACTACCCTTATCCCCTTGACCAATTCTGCCTCGGCCGGTCCTCCGTTCGTCCCACGGTTCTTCCTGCGAAGGACCTTCTTCGTTCCCAGCCATCATTTCCTCAATCAATCTTGCCTTCTACTCTGCGTTTTTTTTTTCTATTTCCTCTAGTTTGCGCCTTGCATCCGTGACCCTCACTTTCTTAAACACAATTCCCTCTGAATTCCGGGGGCTTGTCCTATCCTTATTTCTGCCGTCCTTGGTTTCCTAAGTCCTTTGCCTGCTTCCTCCGGCTTTCCCTGAGCTTTCCCTTGAGGAGATTTCCTTCCGGTTCCCTTTGGTACCATTCGGATTTATCGATTCTCTGTCTTTCTGCCCCTCGTCGCTTTGTACGGCACTGCCTCCTAAGCGTGGTCCTCCTTCGCTCCTACGGTTATCCGTTTCATCTTCCGTTGCCATTTTGCCTAGATCTACAAAACCAAAGGATTCCCCAGGACACATGCGGCGCGATGTATTTAGGTTCCATAGGTTCCGACTTCGTTGGCTTATCTTTATTCGGATAATAGCCTTCTCCCCATTTCCGTTCCCCGATTGTTTTCCTAGGAAGGGGCCGCGACAGACCCCGCCGCCCTACCGAGCTGAGGAACACGACTTTGTGCCATTTATCACAGACTCGTTTAGAGTGCCCCTGTTTCGTCGGCCGGTGCGTAAGAGTCCTGATTAGGCATCCTGATAGGGAAAGTTTCCCGACAGTATTCCCCCTTTCGACCTCCCGGGTCATGGCAACCATTAGGCGTCTACCCTCCCCTCCTTTGTTTTCTAGCTGGTTTTGATTGCTCGGGTCCGAGGTCCTTTCCTATTTCCGTAGCGGGCTTATACTTACTTTACCCCATTGGCCCGCCCGGGGCGCTAGTCCCGTTCTCGCTCTCGTGGCCCTTCCGGTTCGGTAGGCTCCTCGAATAGTTGAGCCACCCCCGCTATATAACTCTCTCCTATCTCGATTGCCCTCTGGATTATGTGTTCGTATTCCGCCTAGGCTAGCCGTGGCAACCCTAATATCAAGATATGGATAACTTCCAGTAAATTCATGGGCCGTGTTTCCCTAGAACGACCCATGTTCTACAACAACGTCAAAGAACATCCTGATGGTCTGGAAGGGGAAGTGGTCTACCCAGATTATTGCCGAGTCTGCCAACTCCTGCGCCCTTGCGAGGCTCCCGAAGATGAGGTCTATCATAAATCGTGGGACCCGACACCTCAACGACGTGGTTGGTGCCCTGAATTCCCTTCAGCCTTCCATTTCCACCCTGGTTAGTAAGTCCACGTTTCTTCTACCCCCTGACGGATTGTCCTATCCGCGTCAACACCCGGGCCGCCCTCTGAAAGACGGGAACCAGCTCGTGGCCTTGTGTTATTCCTATCCCCAGCGAGTGCCAACCAACCTCGGGTAGGTATAGGACCCCGGTTACCTCCAAATTGGAAAACAGATCATCCCCAGACCCTCGGTTGAGTCTCATCCTTGTCCACCGACATTCCACCAACATGAAGGCGCTGTCTCTTCATAGTGTCACGGCCCGCCATTCTACGTCGAATCCCCGAAAGTTGGAATTTGACGGGAGGGACACTGCCCATCGCCCGCCGTTATTTAAGGGCGGTCCGAGGTACCGGGGCTGGCGTTCCATTCGCACACGTCTTGCTGCCATTGATGTCTTGGCGATTCCCTGCATAGTCCACATAGAAAGGATTACAGCCGATCCTCAGCAAACGTCCACCTACTGCCCCCTTACCCTTTATGTTCTCATTTTTCTTCTCTGGTTCCAACTATCCTTCCATATCCCCAGGAGCAGCAACCTCCGCTGACTGCTCGTACACCCGGTAAAGGTCATCTATGTAGGTCTCGCCCCGACCTACTTCCCGCCTGATGACTCCCCACATGGCCTCATCACTTATTTGTGAAATCCCTGGCCTAGTATTTACTGCTGTCCGTAGTATGGAAAACACCTCGTGCCCTTGTTCGTCTTCAAAATGTCCCATCTCTAGGAAGGCCCGGTAGTATTCCCGATACATTAATGCTTCGTCAAAATTTAGCCTAGTTATGGCAGCTACCACGTGCTGCAGTCGCTCTATGCCTCCCATTCGTCTTAGTAAAAAGGGTAGTAAAAAGGGTGGTAGACTCATTCGCATGACCTCATTCGGCAACCTCAAGTCCACTGCCGCGACAACTTTTACCTCAGCCGTCACGTCATCTCGTTCTGGATCCGCAAACTCAAACCCCTTCCGCCAGGTTATTTGCCACGCTCCTTCGAACATTCGCATGGGGTCATCCCCGGAAGCCAAGGCAATCCGAAAGGTCCGCCATCCTTCGTCCGACAAGTGTAAGGATCCTGTCGCATGTACGCGCCCTGGGAGGTCCAAATTTATACCCCCGAACTCCCCTCTCGCACGCCATTCCAGCTCTACTACTAGGTACACCGTGTCTTCCACCAACGCTACCCCCACCCTATCCATTACCGGGTTACTTACCACATTTCTTGCCGGCAAGCTTATTTCGACCCTACCCCCTGATGCTCTTGGTGGTAGGATCACACGAGGCCTATCCTCCCAGAATGTTATTCGCCAGACCATCTTGCAACGTCTCCTCTCTTGCTCCCTTAGTTCGACTGATGCACCCACCGAGATTGTTGATACCTCCCCCTTGTTTTGACCCCCTCGCATCCCCTGCTAACTAATGTACACGACCCTTTCTTATGTTACACCCTTAATTCACATGCATCCTCCATACTCCGACCTCCCCGCGGTGTTCGATTCCTCGGCCCTTTTTAATCGAACCACAATACCTCAAACAGTTTAAAAAGTTAACGTCATTCACATACGATGGAGCGGCCGCCGCCTCCCGGCTGACTATGGCGTCCCAAGCCTCCGCGTCTACCTTTAGGCAGTCGTACTTTCCTATCCTTAGGACGGTGAGGATCTCGCCGACTTTATCTCCGTAGAAGGGCCCATTTTTTAACGAGATCCTATAAAACTCCTCAGTCAGCCAGACACACTCTATATATGCACTTCTTTCATGGAGTCGGCTACTTCTACACTGTGCTAAAAAACCCCAAACCACTCGGCTACGAACGCAGGCACCCAAATCGTTGTTCGTGGGCTGGGAGGCTTGAGTACCTTCCATCCTCCCATTACAACTCTGCTACTAACTTCGTTCCATCCCTCGTTGGCGAACCTCTTGCCCTCTTTTCGGGTTCGGGCCTCTGCGTCCCCTAGAAGCCACATTGGATTCTGTCCCATTGCTAACATAGTGCAAAATAGGCGTCACCCGTCCTCGGAAAGAACGACCGTCCCGACTGGTTCTAGTTTGCCTTCCGCTATCTCATCCCAGCCTTCCTCTTCCCTTACTGGGTTCCAAATCCGCTCTATCCATACATATGATAGCCCTCGGGCCACCTCAAACCCAACCCAGTCGCATGTGGTCCTCCACTCGTTTTCTGCCGGTATAGGCATTTCTATTCCTCCTCTAAGTCACCTTGGTTCCCATCCCTTGAAGGTGTATTCCATCATCCTTTCCTCTCTAGTCATCTTTCTCCTTCCTGCACAATACCAGGTCACCCGTTCCCGCTAGGTCAAGTCACCCTCCTTAGAAGTCTCAGTCGTCTATCTCATCATCTTCGTCCTCATCACTGAAGTCGTCCTCTTCGTTGTAGAACAACTCTCTCACCCCTTCCAGAAATGTCTCCCCTATTGCCACATTTCTATAGACTATCCCCCAATGCACGGAGCTAGAGACAAAGACATTGTCTACGCTAAGGATGTTTAGTATCTCGGCCAGCTCGTCCGCCCAGTTTCCCTCAAACGGCCCCATTTCTCCCGACAACCGAAATAAGTCTTGCCTAGCGCACTGGTATAGTCTGAGGTTCGTCATGGACTGACATATCCGTACCCGGGTTCCGAAAAGCGCTTCCACCAGGAAGGGAGGCAGCCCACATCACATGGTTCTGACGGGTCGCCTCATGCTTGCTCTATCCCAAAGTTTCACCCGCACATCTACCCTTTCCATTTCCATTTCCCTCCGTTGACACGCAGCCCATACAACCTCCACTTCTGCCTTCCTAAACAACTCGTCCGGCGTATTTCCGCGTACCAAGTCTATGACCATAGCATTCTCCCTGTCTTGCGACAAGTAGACCCACCCCCGGGCTTCCACTGTCCCTCGAAACTCTAGATCCATTAAGCTCGGCGACAACCTCGTCAAGCTGACATTAGCCCATACCGTCTCTATCCACAGGAACGCGTCCTCCCCTTCCAGCATTACGGTTTGATATGCCGGTTCAAGGTCCGTCCACGTCCCATCTTCTGGAAGGACAACCGACACCCCATCCTTTACATCTACTGATATTTCTGGGCCGCTGGTATATATCGGGGAAGACAATCATCGAGCCATCTTGTTTCCATCACTCGACCCCTGTTTTCATAAGAGAGTGTCAAACGGTCCTTCTGGTCAGGTCAACCATCGTCGTAGATGAAAATTATTTCAGACCCCTCATCAAGGTCTCCCTAATTTACCTCCCCATTCCTAAGTACCTCCTTTCCATAGTACCCTTGGTCGACCATCTATTTCCCCACATTCTTTCTCTTGGTTCCATTCTAACTGACCTCTATCCTCCTTCCTTGCGATCATCTCTCACTCGTGTAGACTTAGGCGGGAGGGGGAATAAACTTATTAGAAATATGCCCCGTCCAACAATCCAAACTCACTCAATCTTTACAGAGGGGGAACACAAAAAAAAATTCCGACAATCTCACATACGGGCCAGTCATCTCCTCACCAACCTTTTCCCAATATGGTCTCTCCGCT